TCAAGTGATCTTCCTGCCTCAGTCGCTTAAGTAACTGGAACTACGGGTACCCTACTACACCACACCCAGCTAATTTTTCTATTTTTAGTAGAGGTGGGATCTCACTCTTGCTCAGGCTGGTCTCAAACTCTGACCTCAAGCATTCCTTCCTCCTCAGCTTCCCAAAGTGCTTAGATTACAGGTATGAGCCACTGCGTCCAGCCTTTCTTGCACGTCTTTACATTATCTACCAGTTCATAGGGAAAATGCTTATTTAATGTAAAACAGCCTGAATATCACAACAATGACCTACCTGGAGATGATAGTGATATTGAAGGCCAAGGGCTTTGGCCCTGAAGTCACAGGTCAGAGGGAACCTTTGTGTGCCCAGGTCTTGGTATCTAGAAGTAACCAGCAGTTGGAGATTCTTTCAGGAGAGCCCTGCCATCCATAATGAGGGACAGAGACTGCCAGACCTCTGCCAGCCACTGAGCTTGAGGGTGCAGACACCTCTTGGGTTGGACAGAGGAAGTTCTGAGGGTGCTGAGATGAGCGCTGCAGTTGAGGGCTCTGTGAGTCCAGCCTGCAGGCAGCTAGGGTGCAAGTTCAAAGATCCTTCTCAGAGCCTCTTGGCTTTGGGGCTGTGAAATCACTGAGGTTCTCTCAGCCTCATCTGTGAGATAGAGATAAGGAAGAAAACTCCCAGGATTATTTGAAGATTGGCTGAAGTAATGCTTGAAAATGCTGGATTTGGAGTGAAAGCTTGCTTAACACTAGAATGTGCATCTATTCACCCCACTCAAAGTGAAGGAAGCAGCATCATCAGAAGCAGAGGGTGGGAGGAGGCAGAGGACAGTTGTGAGTTGCCCGCAGGAAGTCGCTGACTCTGTGGTAAAAGTCCCACATCCCTCATTCTGATTTGATGGAGATTCTTACAGTTACTGTGCGTGGTGGCTACCGTGGAGAAGGATGTTCTCTGACGTGAGCACAGCACAAATGTGACACAGGAGCAAAGCCCCTCAGCCAATCAGTGTGGCACCAGCACTGTGGTGGGTGTTTGCTGCACTTGTCTTGTAACACTGTGGGCAGCAGAGGGGTCATGACTCCGTGTGTCAACTGCTTTTCCAGCATCTTTGTGAAGAAAAAGGAAATGA